TAAAGACCTCCTTAAACCATAAGAATTGCATATTGGTTAAGGAGGCCTTGACATTTAAGGACGGTAAGGATTAAAGCAGTATGCAACGTGTTCCCTCCTCAAAATTTCAACAGGTAAACAAGTTACTCAACGAATAGTCTAAAAATTAACTCCTAAAAAAGATGTAAGTGTTTACAAATAACATTAGTTCAAAGAAAAATACAATACAAATACGTCATTTGTAGAATACAGTTTCCATTGGATCTTTTTGGATCAAATCTCTTAGTTTACGAGTTGACCTTCGAACTTCCCGTTATGTGAATGGTTCGCCTCTACGTCATAATTTGACGAAAAAACATGTGATGCTTGTTGAGTGGCCTATTGTAGGTCGGTTGGAATGAGTTGGAAATTCTAAACGCTCTCTGCGCTTTTAATCGTATTTCCTTCGTTTTTTCATCTAAACTATAGAGTTATTCGTTAAAATTTTTAGCAGTATACATTCTACATGGTAACGATGAGAGAATTTATAAAAATCGGTTCCTAATCTTAAAAGTCAATGGTTAGGGGGACAAATGCACTTTTTCGGGAGATGCTCCAGAGGCGCGCTCTCTTGGATTGGACGAAGAACCTTTCGGGTAGGGAATGCCTCTAATATTATCAACGACAGTACGTTTTCCGAAAAAATGCCTGCCAGTTAGGCAGGGGTCATGGAACAGTTTGTACCCTCAATCGGCAGCATGCGGTGAGCCGGGTTAGTCCTTTCCGCAATCGGACCCCATCCCCGAGACGGTGAGCATGGATGCTCCAAAAAGCATTCCCTTCCACTGCGTATAGAGGTGCTCAAAAAGAATATGAAACACGCTATATGCAGAGGCTATTCCAATTCTAATAAATAATGAGATGTTGAAGTTTTTTAGCCAACGTGCGTAAAAAATTCAGCTTAAAGCTGAAATCTCATTAGAGTGGGAAAAAGCTCACACACAAGCACCATTTTCCCTCAAAGAGATATGCTGTTTGGAGCAACACTAGTTACGTCCATTCAGGAAGGCAACTACAGACGCGTTTCGGCCTTGTTGGGCCAATCCTCAGTGCAGTGCAGCCTCCTGAATTTTCTGCTACCAAGCTCGAGAGGTCGTGAAAACCAGCCCGAGACTTGGGCAAGCGGACGCGGCGGCAAGTAAACTTTACGCACGTTGGCTAAAAAACTTCAACATCTCGTCTTTCGACCCGTGCGTTCACCGCAATTGGTTGGTGTAATAAATAATGGTACAAAAAACCTTTCGCTAAAACGGGATCGCAATTTGAACTCTTGCAAAGCTGAATAATCAGATGCAAAAAATTGTGGGCTCATGAGGTCAGGCGAAGAAGCTAGGTGACTGCCTGAATAGTCTTCAGTAACCCGTGCGAGTACTTACTTTAATGTAGAACTCCACCTACAAGGCAAAAAAAAAAAAAAAAAACCCACACATAACCTTCCGGATTGCCTTCAATGTTAGCAAATACAAATTAACATACAGAGGTGATATTCAGTCAACCACGATGTCCATAAGGGAAGAAGGATTTTCTTGTTACCGGACTACCTGACTACGGCAACTTAAAAAAAAAGGTTCTTCATTCATGTCATTGTTTCATGACTGGGGATCGGGAAGGGTACACTCTCGAAGGATGAAGGGACCCAACACGAGACCTTTTTTTCAAAAAGGTTCACTGGTGTGTCAATGTGGGTCCAGGTAAAATTTATTTGACTCTAAAAGAAGGTTTTTAAACGTCTAACGTTCGAATGCGATTGCAACGAAAACCAAGGTTCTACGGGACCCTGCCAAGATTTAGAAGTAGAAGAAAATGTTCCAAGGGCTACCTCAGTGCCATCGAGTCAAAGCTTTGACAAATTGCTAGATTCTTTCATAGCCTTGGAAATCAAGCGGACGGACGTCATAAAAAAAGCGGAGGAGGTGGCTACGAACCAGAAAAACAACGTGACGCTGAAATTTGTAGAGGTCGCTGGCTACGCAAATTATGTACTTGAAAACATACAACGCTATTTTAATGCTAGTAAGGTAATGCTGGACTATGAAAAAGGAGAATCAAACCTTTCGGAAGAAACCGTAAATTTGGTAAGAAGAACATTATCCTTTTTGCTGTATATTAATCAAGCTTAAATGATATAATTATAGATCGTGCATGGCTTAACATGACCAGAATCGATCTTCCTCTTCTTTATAATAAGCAGCTAAATAATTAGTGAGAAATAAAATTAGATTATAACTCTATAACGTTTTTGAAACATGATTGGAATTTTAAAGCTTACACCAGATAGTCTAATCTTTAGCTATATATACTGGAGCATCTGAAAGATTTTAACAATTACTTTATTTATCATTTTCTTAGATTTTGATTTTTTATATACTTCCATACCTCCCTTAAACTGCAATGTGATTGAGATTCACGAGATGCCGTAGAAAAAATTCATGAGACATTTCTTTTTTGGTGAAAATGACTTATTTTATACCCCATTGTTTAATAAAACTCAGACACTACATATATTTTTTCTAGAAAACTCTTCTACTGAGGACGGAAAATTACTTGAATAGACAAATGCGTAGGCTAGCCTCAATCTACAAAAATTTAGAGGCTGGTCAGGGAGGTCTCCCTCAGGACATGTTGAGCAAGCTGCGACCTGTGATGGATATTATCAAACAAAGTGAACAAGCGGTGACTCCTCTTGAGGAACGATTACGAGTTGAATTGAAAAAGGCCAAAAAAAAAGGAAAACACTGTTAATTAAGGTATGTAATTCAAAATTCAATTTACGGCTAAGACGTAGAGTATATCGTCTACCCGAGATTAGTTTATGTGTAAAAGTAAATAAGTGTCAGTTTATCAGTAAAAGTGAGTCAGCCTGACGTCAGGCTATGTTCCATTAACTACCCTGAGTCTGACTGATTCAGGCTGACATCAGTCTGACTGATTCCGGCTGACATCAATCTGACATCAGCCTGCATCAGTTTGGCTTAGGGTAGTGTATGAAACATAGCCTGACGTCAGGTCGATTAACTTTTACATCCCTAATTTCAACCGAGACTAGTTCCGACTCTCAACTATACGATTAAACTAACACTAACAACACTAACTAATACTTATTTACTTTTACACATAAATATCCGAATATACGAACCGTCTTTAACCAAACGATTCACCTAATGGTTAAAAGGCGCGATGTCTCAGAAGATCCGGGGAGGGAAAAGCGATAGATGAACATTTGAGAGGCTTTGAGGACAAGGCGCATGAGTGCAGTTTTTCATATTTCGAGAGATACGTGTTTGAAGTTTCAAAGGTACATGGATCCTTATGGCGAAAAGAAAGTTCAAACTGTCCTAATGATGCTTAAAAACTGGAATTTGGAAGCGATTTTTTCACAGAATATGCATTAAGATTAGTTTGACTTGAAATAATTAAAATCCTTTTTTTTTTCAAAATCTGCACTTATGTGCCTTGTCCTCCAAGCCCCTTGTTTATTTTCGATAAAATACTGTGAATGTTGAATTGACGGCGTCAAACATATATGACTGCTCGGTTTGTCGTTCAAGACTATTAAAGCATATCAGATTTTATTTGATAAGCTCGAAGCTAGTGCACGTTTCATTTTTACTGTTCCTCAGATTTATACGTGCAGTAACAGTATGGCTTTAACTTTGCTGTGCTCTATATCGTTGATCTTTGGATCTATTGAGGCCACGGTAAGTGTAAAAGTTCGACATAGTTAATACGTAAAATCAGGGTAATAATATCACTAAAAATTACTAGGGCATTAGTTAACATTAGCAGCAACAATAAAATGAGTTAAAAGTTCGAACTTGAGTACCAAGTATTAGTTTTAAGTATTTTTTTTTCTTTTATTTTTTTGAACGATTTCGACTAAACTATGGTCAAACACATTTTATCTATAAGGTAATTTAAGCTTTTGTCATAAACAATGCTTTCATCATTTTCGTGGGGAAGGTTGTGCAGCACTGAACGCGTGGACTTTTACGCTAGTAAACTAAAATCTTCCCAGGAACACATCGTCAATTTTTGGGGGAAAAAAAATTCAACCATGCATTTTAACGTCGTTGAATTATTTCCATCCGCAAATTGCATCCATGCTGGGAAGCGGTGCTGTTTCTGGCCGGTGAGATGGCGTGGTTTGCGATATATAGATCGATCTACTCTTTAAACCTATGGAAAAATATCGATATTCAGGGTGTTCGCAACGAACACCTTAATAATCGCTTCTTTACGATAGCTTCAAATGGAGAAAGATCGATAATCGACCATTCACCCCTCGCCACTGTTTCTGACTGAAAATTTTACTGCATTTACCTCTAATTCTTGCCAAAATCAACAAAATGCTGGACAGACTTCAACTCGTTCCATTCAATTTTCTAACCTTTAAGCGACGTTACGTTCTTTTATCTGACGGAACAAAATATGTACTTTGAAAAATGCAAATAATGTTGAATTTAAACTTAATTGAGTCAATAAAGTAGAATGCAACTTCTTGCAGCCAACTTCAACACCATCAACCTCAACACTACCAACTTCAACACCTCCAACTTCAACAACACCAACTTCAACACCGCCGAGCAAAAGCTTTGATGAATTATTGGATGCATTCATGGTCGTGGAAAACGACCGAAAGGCCGCTATTAAAATAGCAGAAGAGGCGGCTAAAGAGGCAGGAAGCAACACAACACTCAACTTTTTGAAGGTTGTGCGAGAGGCAGATAAAGTGCTCGAGAATCTGCGACGCTACTTCGATGCTGGTAAAGTCATGTTCGATATGAATAAAGGAAAATTGAAACTCTCAGAAGCAGATTTACTTGCGGTAATAGTAAGATTACATCCTTTACTTTATCCCCATAGTTTGTAGACCCATTAGGTTCGTAGGACTCCTAACCTACGATGGATGAGGGCGCATCAGAAATCGAAAGATTGAGAAAAGGAGATGAAGACAAGACGGACGAAAGAGAGCAAAGAAAGTTCTTAGGAGGAATAAAAGAATAAGTGACAAGAGAAGAAGAAAAAGAAAAGAATGCGGGAAAAGAAAAAGCAGAATTAGGAACAGAAGAGAGAGAAGAGGAACAAGAGGAATTTATACTTCTTTGTATAGGTCTTCCTCTTTCACTTTCTCATACCTTTTTTTCTCCTCTCCCTTTCTCCCCTTTTCTCTTTTGTCGTATTTTTCTCCGCGTCTCCTTTTTTTTCAGTTTATTTCTCAGCCTCTTCTTGTTTATCCTACGATTTCTAATGCGTCCGTATATCTGACGTGTGTCACGACTTAAGCTTTTGCCCTGCTGATTTTTTTCTTCCCATAAGTAAGCTCTCATTACACAATTGCATTTAAAAGAACTAAATTGGTCAGATATAGGTGAAAGCAATCACATTTGGATTATTTAGTTGGAACTAGCACAGCTTGATCGACCGATCAACGTGATTCGATCGACAACCATAAATTGATTGGCAAACCCGTAAAATGCACGAATACTGCATGACATAATGTCTTGAAAATAAACTTTTTTACAAAATTGTAGTACACTTTATCAGATCAGTAGGTTTTGAAATTAAACTGCTTTGCGGCTTACAAAAAAGAGAAAAAAAAAGAAAAAAAGGGAAAAAATTGGACATGGACTGGACATGGTTCTTAATTCACGAAATCTCACTTATTTTCCTTTAGAGCCTCACTATCTAATTAAATTAAGTTTGAAATTTCATCTCTGTTACAGAAAACTGAGCTGTTGCGGAAGAATACATATTTGAATGATGAACTGATTAAATTATCCGCATACTACAAATCAATAGAAGCTCACGTGCCTGATCTGCCTAAAGGCATGAATAGGGTTCTGCGGCCAATAATCGAACTTATCAAACAAAGTGAACATGCACTAATTCCACTTGGAACAAAATTCCGAGATGACCTGGAGAGGACCAAACCGACATCCGCATAAGACTGCAATATACGAATTTAGATCATGACTTAAAGAATTGTTTTCGATTATCATCGAGACTTTCCGTCTTCTATTGTAGAAATTTGTAAAAAAGAGTGACAACAAATCCTTCAGCCATATCCCAAATAGAAGTTTTCAATTGAAAAATCGCGATACCTCAAAATTTAATCGCGACTTTTTAGAATTTTTTGGTGATAAACTCGTAATTAGGATCATCGACTTCCGAGCGATTATCCTCGATTTTGTCGCTATTTTTTCTCTATAAAATTGCGTGAAATAATATCGAAATTATATCTCAATTTAGCTCTATTTTTTGTTTGATAACATTTCGACGAATCGCCATCGATAAAATCGCGATTTTATTGGAGCGTTATGCGATGAAATCGCAATTTTGTTGCCGATAATATTGCAATAAATCGACGGCGATAAAATCGCGATACTTCTTCGATCAAATCGCAACTCATCGCGATCACTGCTACTCGGGACGGTCGGTTAAATCGGTCGCAAATAGTTCCATTCCATTTCCAAGGAGCTTCAAGCAGGGAGCCTTTAACATCCCAACTGCCCAAAATGGCCCATATTGACAATGAAACTGCAAAAAAAAGTATGTACCTCGGTTGCGGTGGTTTAAAAATCTCCACCACTCTTCCATGTTTCAAAAGGAGACTGAATCAACATCATGACTTGAAATATTTTCTGAATATTATTGACTTTTTTTTTTTTTTTTACTACTACTACTTCAAGTAGCCCACAAGAGGTAATCCTACGCTTCTGTCCGTCCCCCCTCCGTCCCTAACAACCAGTCCCAGGCAACCGTTGTTTGAGACCATCAAACTCGGGTCGCCTGGCCGGGAATCGAACCCGGGATCTCTTGATCATAGAGCTAGAACAGTCAAATTACCGAGATGTTAAAGGAATGACAATCAGTAGTTTTCCACGTCGGAAATAATGTGTGAAAGAAAATCTACAAAGCCGCAAACCGAGATACTCATTCCTGCAGTTCCATCGATACTAGATCAACTCAAGTAATATTCAAGACTACGGTGATGGTAACAGTCTTGCTGGGGGTTGCAATGCTTTTTTACCATAAAAACTGAATAAAGACAAAATCAATATTCATGGTTAGGCACAAAGTAATGAAAAACCGTACCTAATTCAAAATTTACAGGAGTCATTTTTTTTTTCTTTTTAATTGTTCATTATTTGAAGTGTCTGACAAGGATCTTTTTCCATAGCAAATATGTTAACTTTAACGTAAATTTTGTAATTTTTTTCATTCAACGAGTCATTTTTTTCTTTTGAATTTTTCATTCTTTGCAGTATTTTACAAGGATCTTTTTCCAGGGCACATTAACGTGTATTTTGTGAACTTTTTCATTTTTATGACGCTACGTTTTAGAGTCTTCTAAACATCTTCGTATTTTACATATGTTAATCTGCCAAAAACGAAGAGCTAATTAAGATTAAGGAGCAACTGCGTAGAAATCTCATACTCTTTCATTGACACTTCGTGTGAAGCGCAAATATCACGAACTTGATACGAAATAAGCAAAATACACAGCAGATACCTTCAACCTTTGATATCGACTTGAGAGGGAGGGCTTGAGGGAGATTCTGTGAAGCAGGGAAGTGAATGGAAAACGGGGTACTTAGCATCCCAGCCTCAGGGATGCGATACGTCAGACGCAGACCCAAATTGGCAGCCAGAGAAGTACCTCGCAACGCAATATCACCAACAACTTCTGCGTTGGATTTCGCCCAGTGGCGTAGCGTGCTTTGCGATATATCGATTGTTCTGCCATTTAAACGTATGGTAAAAATCGATTGTTAAGGTGTTCGCTGCGAACACCCTGATTATCGATCCTTTCCATAGGTTTAAATGGCATAACAATCGATATATCGCAAAGCACGCAACGCCACTGATTTCGCCCCCGATTTTCCCAAATCCGACCCGACAGGTTTCGGAAAATTGACCAACACGTGGAAAATTTCGCTCTCATTTTACTGAGTGCAGCATCAGCTCTTTCCGGCATGTCACCTCGCGAACTTCCTTATTTTCCTCTTTTCCTCGTGCGAAAGGTAATTTTTTCGCCGTAGGGATCGCGATTGGAACGGTGTCTGATATCGTCCCTCTTCTGGCGAAATCTTGATTTCAACGTGAGCCCTGTTCTCCATATAACTCCATGCTTTTCAGGGCTCGTATGGAAATGGAGAGACGATCTTACGTTAGAGGAGCGACGATATGTCGTGTTGTGTTGCGTAGTAATTGGCCTTTGGCGTGCAAAAAAAGAACACCCGTTGCAAGATCTTTCCAGGGTATCGTGCGGGCTGCGGGACCACGTATTTTCATTTGCGAAATTGCAGACTTCCGGTTAGAATTTATTTTATCTCTGAAAAACTAGACAACTTAATTTCTTGAAAACCACCTTGATTTTCATTTTCTGTCAGCGGAATATTCTGAATAAGGGAATAAGGAATTCAGTGGGGCCACCGTGTTTCTCGCGGACTTTTACAGAAGAATCAATAGCATGGTCAAATCGCAAATTCCTCACAAATTGACACTGGAAAAAAAGTAGCTTGGATCTAGAGTCTAGACTCTTGAAAACAATGACAAGAAAAAATACTCTTGATTCAATCGGATTTTTGCTTGAATTAAAGGGGAATCCGCTTAAATTAAGAGGCTTGGTTCTCGATTCAAGCAAAAATCCGATTGAATCAAGAGTTTTTTTTCTTGTCAATGTTTTTAAGCGTCTGGACTCTAGATATAAGCGACTTTTTTTTTTCGAGTGCAACATCCTCATTGCAGAGATACATTCTTTGAAAAAATCGAGCTGTTTGAGTCAATTTTGCAACGTCGGATGCGGAGTTGCGTTCCTTCGCCGAGAATGGACGATACGTTGTTTCACGATTCGGCCTTGAGTTTTATCTCCAGTAAGCAACAGGCCCACGACTGGACGTTATTCATCCAAAGCAGGTGCCTACTATTCTCCCCCGTCGCCCGGTCCACAAATCCCCGAGGTTAGCAGCCAAGAATGGAGTTTTCTCCGAGGGTTTTTTTGAAGGGGTGAATAATGTAACGACCGCTTGCGCGGGTCGCGGTTAGCGCGTGAAAAGAGTCTACCGAGGCTATCACAATGGCAGTCGCGTTCGGCAGGTCGTTATTTTTCGCGTTTAATTTGATTGCCGCCTCATAAAACCCTTCGTCGCCTAGCGTTGCCGCGCCCCCCGGTTTCAGCCCCGTTTCCAGTGCCGCACAGTGCTGCCGCGCTAAAGAAGAACGTCGTATGAGCCTTCGAACGTTGCCAAGTTTCTTCCGATAAAGACTGAATTTACTGGGAAAATTGCGATGATTATTTTCCAAAAGCTTCAGACAATTTTTTACGCAATTTAATCTAAAATATCTGAAAATTTCAGGGAAAAATATTCATGAATATTGTCAAAAATACATGTTTTATCAAGGGAAATTCGGCAACTCTCGAATATTCATACGGCGTTTTTCCTTAGCACCGCAGAGTGGATCGAGTCAATACTGCCGTGCTAAGAACGAACGCCGTATGAACATTCGAGAGTTGCCAAATTTACTTTCATAAAAAGTTTATTTTCGAGGAAAGTTATGAATAGTTTACCTTTGAATTTTCAGAATCTTTAGGTGAAATTGCGAACAAAATTATCTGAAAAAGTGGGAGGAAAATATTCATAAGCTTACCAGAAAATTTGCGATTCATAAAAGGAAAGTTGGCAACGCCTGAAGGGTCATACGGCGTTTTCCCTTAGCACGGCAGAATAAAAGAGGTCCAACAATATTTGGGAACTTTAAAAGCTTATAACTCCGTTCATATACAACTTTGAAGTTCTAAAAGTGTTGGTTTCCTTGTGAAATTTTCTTCTTAAAGCAACCCTTGAAATGTGAAATGTGACCAAATAAACACGAAAATTAGCAGTTTTAGTCAAAAATTTCTCGTATGACCTCTCTAATTGACTCGATCTACTGTGTGCCGCTTCAAATTCTTGGTTGCAGTGTCTCAAAATCTCCGCTAAACTCGCCTAGCGTTTCCGCTCCCCCAGTTTGATTATTGCTTTTGAAAAAATACGTCCAATTATTTTTGCAAAAAAAAAAATTGTGATTTTTCTTCGCATAATCAAGAATGTATCCTCTAAAAATTTCATGAAAATAAGTCTAGTAATAATACGATCGGACGGTGAGGGAAGGCAGAAATTTCGAATCACAACCAAGCCTACACATCTCTGCGGTATCATTGTCACCGTGCTGAATGCTATACGAGTTAAACGATTGGCTGTGTGCGTGAGGTAAAATTTCGTCACCGCACTGTCAACGAAAAACTTATTCGCGTCTTTTCAGGTTAGTTTAACGCTGATTCATCCAACCGCGCGTTCTCGCCGGAAAACTTGGGCAAACGCGGTCAAGGTTTGCCGAATTTCACGTCAAATTCGATCGTCATAAGGAAAAATTGGTAAAATTGTCACAAAATTGGCAACGCCGAACGTGGTCAATGAGCTATAACACACGGCAGCTCATAAAACCCCAAGACGGCCGGAACTTTCCACGAACCTTCTTGTCGAGTTTCGAGCTTTGACATCAAAAGTTCCGACGAAAGTTGGTGAAAGGCTTCGTGTCTTCGCGCTCGGGTGTTTTGCCCGCGGCGAGATATCGAGCGGCGGCGCAGAAGGGGCGAAAAGGGCTCATTAAATATTAAGCTCGTAAAATAATAATTACATGCGCGCTGGGAGCTTTACAGCACTCGCTTCTCAATGGGAATTTTCAGTTTAATTAATTAAGCAGCTCTTAAGCACGAAAGCTGATAAATTTTCAGCTGAAACGTGGTATTACTCGGAAAAGAGTTTGCGAGGACATTTATTATCGTGCTCTCTTTGAGAACCTACAAGTATTTAACTGCGAAAAACAAATCCTCATCGGTTGAAAAAGCATGTCGGGTCTACATGTAAGAGGGAGAGTACGGTTATTATGTGGTTATCGGGTTTTAATATCACACGAGAATTCACGAAGAGCCATGGAATTTAGGTTCTTAAAGTTAAACTGTGGGTTAACTGCAATTAAGTTAGCAATTTTGGTAAACCCTGGTAAAAATTGGCGATAAGAGCTGCGTTTCAAAATACCATAAGAATTCTTATAGCCGGCTAAAACAGGCTACAGGAAATCATAAAGCTGGCTGTAGAATGCGGAGAAAATCATACGACCGGGCTATACGAAGCGATAAAAAATTATGCAGCCGGGCTATAGTTCCTATCGCCGGGCCTTACACTTTATCGCCTGGCTGTTGCTTTTTTGCCATCGATTATAAAAGGCTATAAGAAATTGTGTAGAAATTCGTGTGCTTTGGAAATCATTAAGTTTGATACGGAACCACCTTAATATTTACAAAACACACATTATATTTTCCTTTAATACATATTTTTTTTTTCATCAATTAAAATGAGAATAATCCATACAGGATGTGCAAACATTTCAAAATCATGAGTTGAATAACGCTGACTCCGCCTGATTAAATATTAGAGCCTAACACAAAGCGGAGCGGCGACGCACTGGCGCCTACAAACCTAACAGGGATACTTTACGCATTGCGTAACGCGTGAAGTATCCCTGTTAGGTTTGTAGGCGCCGATGCGTGTTTCGCGCTGGCTGCCCGCTTGCCACGGCGCTTGAAGCAACTATTTCACACCAGAGGTATTGCACAGTATCATACGAAACTGAAGGCGCTCTAATATATTAGTAATGGCAGGCATCCATCAAAAATACGGAGCTTTCCTCGCCAAATAAATCAAGATACTACGGCCCAAAAAGAGAGCAGTATTAGCTCCTTATAAAAGCGTGCCGTAAAAAATTGTTTAAAGAAAGAATCTTACCGGAGACTGCGTCAAGAGGTGCGGTCTGAACGAAGCTGCGTTGTCTGTTGTTCCCGACGATGCAAACAGCTAAAACGAGGATGGTTGGGTAACTCCTCATAGCTCGATTTGGGTCAGCCGAGATGGCAGTCGTATCGGCCTTGCCCCTTCAAATCTGGAAAAGAAAATAAAACGAAGACGTGTCAAAAATGCTTCAAAGATTTGCCGAGAGGACAGAGTTCATCAGCGTATTTTTCCCCCCACGAATCCCTGACGGCCTTGAACATCGGCAGTCATTCTTCTTTTAATACTCTTCAAATTGGCAGAATCTGATTTCAGTCACGCTCACGTGCCCTCATTTTCATGCGGAAAATTTCGGGGACAATTTAGGCTTTTTCTTACTACTTCACTGAAAAAAATGGTCTGCTGTTTCAGCACCTAGGATGTCAAAAATGTGTCTGGTGATTCTAAGATGCTGCCTTGACTGCCCACTCAGTTGAATTTGCATTCAGAGGATGTAAAGTTAACTGCGGGGGCAGTAAAGGCAGCACCTTAGGATCACCAGGCTCATTTTTGACATCCTAGATGTTAGAACAGCATATTAATTTTTGCGGTGAAATTGGAGGATTCGGAACTTCAATAGGATACGAGACAGGGTGAAAAGCGAAACAATTTGAGATACGTTTTCTCATCAAAAGTTGACATATAATACATCAAACTCTTTAAAAATAGTGGAAAATCTGCTCGAATGAAAAATTAGTGTTAACAGGTTACACTACAATCAGTAAATTTAAACTTCCCGCTCACGGAAACACTACAGTCAGCGAAACTCAAATCGACGATTGTAAACAATTATATCACCCAAAGAGGACGAAAAATAGAAAGAAAAGATGAGAAGAATACAAAAAAGAGGAAGGAGAAGAAGACGAAATAAAGAAAAAAGGAAGAAGAAAAAGGGGAACAGAGGAGGAAGAAACAATTAATAAGTAATGATAAAAGGGGAAAAATTCGAGGAGAGAAGCAAGGACACCAGAAGGAAAATAAAAAGGGGAAGAAATAGGTAAATGAGAAAAGAGAGAAAACAAAAGAGGTGTAAAAAGAAAAGAGAAAAAGAGGTAATTTATTTATTTTTTCTCTTTCTCCGTCTCTAGTTTCTCGTTTTCTTTTCACTCCTAGGTATTTATTTTTTGTACATCTCCCAAGTCAGGAATCGAGGACTCGAGTATAGAAGACCCAAGTAAATGAAACTTGGGTCAAAAGCAATTTACGGGTTTCAATCGCTGATTTTGAAACTTCGGCAGTTTCCCCGAAAATTCGCAAAGGTCACATCCACGAAAACCGGGGGAGGATAAAAACTTGGGGAATGTGAGGTCCGCGTTCCCGGAAACGAGAGCGACCCCATCAACTTACAGCGGCGTGGCGTGCTTTGCGATATATCGATTGATTCGCCATTTAAACCTATGGAAAAAGATTGATTATCAGGGCGTTCGCAGCGAACACCTTAATAATCGATTTTTTACCATAGCTTCAAATGGCGATATATCGATAATCGATCCTTCACGCCACGCCACTGACTTAATTATCCCGGAGCCCCGAAAGCAACCGCTAAAAGTTGCTGAAAACTTCCGCATCCACGAGGGACAGGAAATTGGTGACCGGATATTTCTAGAGCGACTGACCTAATTTGGGGATTACCGATCACATCCGCTCCACCTCAATTAGGCCAAAATTAGCTTGCTCATACGCGCGCCTATTAAAGTTTTTAATCGTGGTGGCGTTTTGTGGATTCCCCTAGAACAATTTGCGACCATTATTTGGATTGCATTTTTCAAAAAGGAACCACTAGCATTGCAATGTTGCTAGATTGTGCAACTTCTTTTGTCTTGGAGGAAAACCCCGATAATTCATTAATAGTTTCTATTTTACTCGCTAAAAACTGTAAATTTAAGACAAAAATTACCATCTAAATTTCAGTTTTTCACGATTTCCGCAATTTTTTTGCAAAAGATTAAGTTGCACAATCTTAGCATCATTGCAATGCTAGTGGTTCCTTTTTGCAAAATGCAATCCATTTCCATTCACACAATAGCTCTATGAAAATAATGCTCTGCTTTGTAAAGGAAGAACGCCATAAGAGCAAATGGACGCTGCTCAATTTCTCCGGATCAAACACTAATCTTCAAGAAAACTTTAGACTATATTCTGCCGTGCTAAAGAAGAACGCTGTATGAGCCTTCAAATTTTCAAGTTTCTTCCAATAAAAACCCAAATTACTGGGAAAATCGTGAATATTATTTTCCAAATTTTTCAGACAATTTTGTAAGCAATTTAATCTAAAATATCTGAGATTTTCAAGGAAAAATATGCATGAATGTTGTCTAAAATACATTTTTATCAAGGGAAATTTGGCAACTCTAGAATGTTCATACGGTGTTCTGCCTTAGCACGGCAGTATTCTCCTTTAAACTTTCAGATAATATACTCCGCAATTTATTGTTTAGCACAAATGACAAATTCAAGGGTTAAAATACACGACTTCTCAGAAAATGAACGTTTTATCTGGATATTTGGCAACGTCTGACACACACGGCGTTTATCTTAAACACGGTAAAGTTCCTAGGGAGCATAGGTAAGGGTACAAGTAGTAGTGCAAGACTTCAAGAGTAGGCAAGAAAACGTGAACGCTACATTGAGAGTTCAAAATAAATGATACAACTATATTAACTTCGAAGCAGCACAAATTGCATAGCTTCCTAATTGTAGGCGTTTCTAGTTTCCACGTTTGTTCAGATGCAAGAGCGATGAACTAAGGATGAGGCCGTTTGCTGAAATTAATCAAGAGCTGGGTAATGAGTTTCCGTGCTTAGGAGGACATCGATGTCACTTATATTTTTCTCGAAATTTGTTTTTTTTTGTTTTTTTTTCAATTAAATGAAAATAAAATCCCTAATTTTCTTTACACGAAAGTCATGAACATATTCCTTTACAAATTCAGAAGTGCCAAATTACAAAGAAAAAACCTCATTTCAAAAAAGTCAAAATTGATTGATTCAAACCACAGTTCAAACAAATGGTTGTTGAATATTAAGGGAACAAAACCGCCCGATAATGTTGTGCAAAACCAATTTTATGATTCAAGTTTTGCAGGTCCAAAAATGTGCGTTTAAGAAAATAATTCTGAAGTTTTTATCTACGTAGAAGTATGCTGGTGGTATCTCTGATAGCATGCAACCAAAGAGATTAAAAGGGGATCCTTTTGTGCTTTAAATTGTTCTTTAACTACATCAAATAAATTCCGTTTAAAGCTACTTACAGCGATATGATACAGAATTTAATGGAGAGAGCAGATTCACAAAAGCAATATTAAATCCGAGCTCACTGGAGCTTTTCAAGCTACAAAACAAACCGCAGAAGTTTAATTACATTAAAACTAACCTAAAACATACATCCCACAGAGAAGTTTTACTGAGGCAGAATGAAATGTTGGAAAGTTTGGGCAGTTGAAAGAAACTAATGGTTGCCAAGTTTCAATTTTAATCATTAGTTAAAGTTGGACTGACCGCAAATTTTCTGCGATTTATAATTATAAATTAAAAGTGTCACCCTTTTTTCTGATGACTTGGATGATCTTAATCACTAGCCTGTATGGTTCTCTTTCTTTCAAAACTTTTATAATTGGAAGCAAATTTATAAACTTAAAAAAAAGAGATAAGTAGAGGTACCCGCAAAATACGAAAGACCAATAGAAAGCCACGTCAGTCCTCGCACTATTCATCATCATCTCTTTACTACGTTATGCTCCTGGAACAGCTGACAATCAAAACTAGATTTCTTTATTTTTTTGTTGTTATTTTCGTGTGCATGTGTGTTAGTGAAAATTATGACGTAGCTGACAAGCAGTATCGAGCTGAGAGAGCAGCTGGTGCGTTCTTGCTATATTCGCTTTTCTTTTTATTATAATAGTTGATATCCACGATAAAATTGTATTTTTACATCAAATAATAGTTGATATGTAAGACCAACTGGATTTTAAGCTAAACACGCGATCGTAAAATTGAAAAAACAAAAAGTTGACTTGTATTGAACGCATGAAAGGGATCTCATGCGGGTTTTATAAAATGTTCAAGAGGGCCAAAATGTAACTTATCAGATCAAACTCTTTGATTTTTCTCTTGCGTAAATCCGATTTACATAAGTATGGGACTTATATTAGGTATACATTTGACCCGATTTGAAGATACCATTCAAAAAAAAAATTCAAGATGAAGGTATTTAAATTTTAGACACCTATTTTCAGAATTCAGTATTGACGAATCAAACATTCTCGTTTCATTCTTTGCTATTCATTCAGTTTAACATCCTTCGTCAACTTGAATTTCGTTTTTATGACGTCTTTCGCTGCGATTCCCAGCTCTTGTTAGAAAGAACGTTCCCATAAAGTTGCCATTTTTCCTGGGCACTCGAGGATATCAAGGGCATATACATATGATTGAAGTGAATGTATTGGTTATACAGCTGTGCAAAGTTACAGTTTTTAGCATCGATGTAGGCATTATCTAATACCAAAAATTACACACGTTGCAACGCTGTGACACTAAAACCAGACTTCAACTCAAGCCTAAAGTTTCACAGAGGGCTTGTCTCGTCCAAGGATTTCATTTATCTAGTAACAAAGTGACCATGGGATTTTCGAGCCCTCGGAAAAGGGGCATAAAGGGGGGGGGCATTTGTTGAGGGAGATTATTTGCTTGAGTGCATTAAGGCCCCCATCTCCTTTAACAATAAAAAATTGACCGAGTTCAACACGGAGGAACCAAACCAAAATCAAATCGAAATCGAACTGAGACAAAGGAATTAGAAGTTGTATGCCTTTGTAAATTTCAGCATGCAATTTAGATTTTAATTCGCGTTTCCTATGTTCCGAGAGCAGGCAAACTTTTGCCTTCTCTTTTGCGTCAAGAACTAAATTTTAATTCATAGGTACGTTTTTAATTGACTGTATAAGTTGGATGAAAGAATAAAGCTCATATGCGAGAATGAAATATTAATAGGTATTTTTTCTTTTGACTGCAGTGTGTGAGAACTAAAGTTCCTAAGGTAAAACAATAGTTCCTAGTTTTATAGCTCTATCGAATTTCATGGAGCTGTATATATCGACGATGAAACATCCAAACC